TAATTAGATTTGTTCATGATTGTGGCTCAGTAATAGAGAAAAGTCTTTGGAGTTTGGTTGTGAATTCAATATGTAGTAGACTCGCTAGTTAACTGGATGAGATGGATGAAGGTACGTATGTCAGGCACTGGTGAAACCTAGGATTTTGCTTGGAGAAATATTTTCGGTGGTTGGATCAGTTATGCAGACTGAAGAACTCATTTGAATAAATATATCAAAGAAGAGAGCTATCTAAATTGAGATAGTTTATTTTAATATTTCCAGGGAGAAAAGGAAATGGTCAGAGAAGTACATGTAACGAGTACGGTTTTTCTGCCTGCCGCTTGGTCTTGTCCTGCTGCTGCGCCAGCCCCAAATAACACACAGAGACTCTGTATTTGATACAATGCTGTTGGCCCGGTTACTTATTTTTTATCGGCTAGCTCTGCCTTAATTATTAACCCATTTCTGTTGATCTATGTATTTTCACATAGCCTTCTCTTACCGGGGAGGCGGCTGGCGTCCAGCTCTCTCCAGACTCTCCATCTTGACTCCTCCTTACTACTTCCTATTTCCTCCTTGTCTCTTAGTCCCTCCTATCTTCCTTTCCTATTGGCCAACAGTGCTTTATTATTAACCAGTATGAGAAACATACAGAATGACCTCTCCCATCAAGTACATACTATCTAAATCTAAAATTAGATATTAGCCTTGTTATGATGACTAGTAGACAACTTCAAAACATGGACAAAAGAACAAAATACATAAATGAATATATCCTAAGGAAATTGCATGACTGATTCTTGTTACAGATAATTTACTTTATTATTGGTGTGTATGTGTGTGCGCGTGCATGTGTATAGGTATGTGGGTGCCACAGCATGTGTGTACAGGCCAGAGGACATATTGAATTAATCAGTTCTCTTCTTCCACCATGGATTCAAATTTCCCAGGCTTACATGGCATATGCTAGCATGGCTATATTCCAGGATAGCATGAAGAAGCCTGCAAGCCTGCATAACCCTTCACAAGTTAATATTTATGGGGTATTTGATCACACCCTGTGAGGATATATCTCTATCATTCCTTGACTGTCTAAGACACGTTCTTCTTGGTTTAATAATGAGCTGAATGGCCAGTATCTGAGCAGGATAAAATAGGCAAGACTTTTGGGGAGAAAGAGAGGAACTTGGTGAGAATAGGCAGGGGATTCTCCAGCCAGACAGTGAGATGGTCAGATGCACACTACTGAGGAGACCCATTATATTTGGCATCCAAAGTGGAGGCATATATATCCAAGTACAGGGCCTGTGGGCTGCTGACAAGCTACTCGGCAGGAGAATAGGTAGAAACACCTGCCACACCACAGACCTGAAAATTTCCCAGAGCTCAGGCTCTTAATTGATACTTATTGTATATAACTGTGTTAGAGTTAAAACCTATCCCTTCTATTTAGACAAAATGGGGAAATGTGGGATATCTGTTCACACTCTGTGAAGATGTGTCTCTGTCCTTCCTTGACTGCCTTAGGGACATGCTGATTTGGTTTAATAAAAAGATGAGTGGCCAATAGATTGACAGGAAAGGATAGGTGGTGTATCTGGAGAGAGGGGAAGTGAGGGAAGAATCTGAGAGGCAGGGTATTCACCAGCAGACAGAGGGAAGTCAGGCGTATGGTACTGAGGAAGTCATGAGCCATGTGGCAGAACATACTATTAGTATAAATGGGTTAGTTTAAGTTTTTAGAGCCAGTTTGGAACAAGCCTAAGCTAAGGCAACGCTTTCATACTTAAGAAGTCTTTGTGTCATTACTTGGGAGCTGGCTGTCCAAAGAAAGAGCTGATATAAGTACTTCTGTTATTGAACCAGTGGCATCATATTTGATGTGCTGGGCACCAATTGTAATGAGAGAGAAACAAATGTCTCTACAGATCTCTTTTTCTTCCTACTTATCCACAGGGTATCTTCTGCCAACAGTTCTTCATTGGATTAGATTTTAGGTCATTAGAAGTTCAACCAACTTTAACCAAGTATAATCATTTCTTCTTAAAATTTAATAAAGTTGATTATGAAAATATGCAATTATAAAAACTTTAAGTTAATTTACAACTTTTTCATTAAGGTAGTGTATTAAAATATGCATTTAGACAACTAATAAGCATAATTATTATATTCTTGAAGTTTTCCAGGTTTTACTACAACTACTTTGAAACCCTTCTGAAAAACAGCATCTTTGTGTCTACAATTTACTTTCCCAAAGCTAAAGGCTATAAGCAACAGGAAGAAAGCCACTCATGGAAAACTTCATTGAGCTATACAGTATTTTTCAACCTGAAAATGAAATGAAAGTTGATTTCAACAGAGCTGTTTAAAAACACTTTTGCCTCAAGATTTCAATGCTTCAATTTTTTTCTGGGGAAGGGAATGATAAATGAAAACAAACCAGATAACCACCCAAATACTCTGCAGAAAAGTGGATGCTATTGAATAATAATAAAGAATAACAAGTTATATATACCTTCTTAATCACAATATTCATAAGAATTTTTTTTTTTTTGCAGTCAAGATTTGAAGGCTTTGAAAGAGTCTGGAGAGTCAACAAGCAGATCAGTAACACAGTATATCAAAGTGCATGGAGTAGAGATATTGGGCTGTTTTACAGTGGATGGTCCCACACCATGCTCTCAAGGGCAGTGCAAACAGGACTTCGTGGATATCTTTTCTTTTCAAAGACGTAAAGATAGATTGCTTCACAACTGCCTTAAACCACAGCTGAAGGATAATCACAGCACAGATGGCCATGAAAGACACTAGCAGAGGAACAGCAGTAAGCTACTGTGTGAATGGTAAAATTCATGTTGAATGACTTAGACATCTCTGTGGTGATGTATTTATGATTTACTAAAACCTTCCTCAGGATTCAAAATGCAAAGCCAGCCACAAGCCGTAGAGGTCAGACAATGGTGATATATGCATTTAATCCCAGCAGCCAGACTAGCTAGCCAGACTGTGGTGGCACACACCTTTAATTCCAGGACTCAGGAGACAGGCAGATGGATCTCTCTGAGTTCAAGGTTACTCTTACCTACACAAGAGTGAAGAGTAACAGAGCTTATGCCTTTGATCCTAGCGCTTGGGATCACATGCCTTTAATCCCAGTACTATGGAGGTGGAGACAGAGGATATGGCTGTGTAGAGAAAGGGATACAAGGAGGAGGAGACAGAAACTGAGAGATTTTGCCTCTGAGGGCTCATGAAGACAGGATGGCCATTGCAGCTGGATAGAGGTAAGGTCTACTGGCTTGGCTGCTTTGCTTCTCTGATCTTCAGCTTGAAGCTTGAACCCCAATATCTGTCTCTGTGTTTTTACTTCTTTGTTACACATCTCTGCACCAGAGTCTTCAAAATCATAAATTACTGACACAAATAGCCTTGAAGGAAACAGTGTTGGCCACTGCATGTGCAGTGATGCCTTTTACTGATATCTTTAGACACAGTGTGAAGCTGCTGTACAAGTAGACGGTGCTGGTTATTCTTCTTAAGTGTCCTCTTTTGGCTCTAATTTTGCAAATATCACGCAGTGTGAATTTGCAAATTTTATTGTTCTTTTATTTTAAATTCTGCCCTGCCTCATAATGGTGGCCAGTCAAACAACAGTCAAATTGGCAAGTGTGAGCCATGATCTAAGTTTGGTCTATTTTTTGTTCATGCAGATAAAAGATAACTTTGCCAGGAGCAGACCTGGTACTTTCCAACAAAACCTTGATAATTTTATCCTATAGAAGCATGAAATAAGAAATTTTCATGTATATAGACCAAGGTGAGGAACAACAGTATGTTTTCTAGTTTTGCTGTTATATTGATAAGTGGGAAGGAGATGTGTAACTGGTCAAAGTTCTGAGAATAGCAGAATGAGTGCTCAGGTTTAAGTGGGGTATTTATTTAAACCTTTGTCATAAAGGCTCAGGGGCATCACAGATGACCAGGAGGATGGGGAAGCAAGGCTATCTTTTGGTCACAACATGGCTGTTACTTCCATGAGCAAACAGCACTTGGGATTTCCTGCACACGATCAAGCCAGACAAAATTTATCAGAGGATGCAGATAATTTCCAGGATCCACACCTTTTCAGGTAACAATTTGAAGTTGATAGTTTCTAGAGAAAGAATTATTCTATTTTGATTATCTGACTAATGATAGATGTGCAGTGTTCTGGTGGATGTACATATGGGAAGCACTAACTGGCCTTAGGTTATTAAAATAAAAAAAGACATGAAGTTGGGAGAGGCTCATGTGTTGGGGGATACGGGAGAGTTGGGAAGATAAAGAGTTGTTTTGATCATAGTTCATTGTATACATGTATGAAATTCTGCAGAATGAAAAAAAATGTTAAATTGCAGCCTTATCAATACCTTTGAAGTCACAGTGGCTAGTGCTTGGGGGGGGCAGCTGTTTATCAGTAAATATGAGTTGATTCCTGAGTGATTCAGCAGAGGCTGACCTTGACTCTAGATGACAGAAATGTCTTGATCATATTGCTATTCCACATGTTATTTGTTCCTTTCTATACATGTGTACAGAGAAATGATAAAATTCTGTCTAAATGGGCCCAAAAGAGATCTATAATAAATACAAAAAGTTCAAGTAACCAAGGAAGTGATGGTATTCTTTATTAATGATATTTTTTTAGAACATGAAATCATGATTCTCATCCTTGACAGAATTTCAAGTAAAATGAGTATGTGCATTTAATAACATTCAGCATCCAGTGATATCTCTGTAGCAAATCAATAAAAGTATCACACATAGTTTTCTTATCCCTGGGAACATCAAAAAGACAAATACATATTCATTCATAAATAATACAGTACAGAGGTTTTGGCAGTTGTCTTATTTATGTTCTTGAAAATTTGTATATAAAACTGGCACAGCAGTTTTTAGTTTACATAAGGTAACTTAAACACAAGTATGACAAGTCTAGCTTCTATTAAACTTCAACCCAACATTATTTCACTAACATGTTTAATATAGGTGCCCATAAGCTGGAATTCCACCATCGTTTCACTTCCCTGAAGTGGTTTATGATCTAGGGACTATCTCAGAGTCTGTATTCCCTCCTCTTTGGGCCAATTGTCTGTTCTCAGCGTCACTGTCAGTGAGTACAGAAAATTAATGTAAAGCAAGTCAAGGAACATGTGTAGGATTAATTAAGAGTTGCTTAAGGAATGTCCATGGTGAATCGAGCACTGGCTCTCAACTATCACCTTCTAAGCAGACAACTGAGTTCCCCATGCACACATTTCCCAGTGTAATGCAACAGTAGTTTATAAAATATGGCAACACATGTTCAAATTGATAATAATAATACGTACTTTTAAATCATATTTGGCAAGATCCATGACACATAAACATTATATTATATCACATTTTCAGAGTATGGAGGTTTGACTATAGTCCCAAGAGATGCAATGCCTACTTCTAGCCCAACGGTTCTCAACCTTCCTAATGTTGTGACTCTATTACGATTCCTTACATTCTGGTGGCCCCTAAAAACAAAATTATTTTTTCTGCTCCTTCCTAATTGTAATTTTGCTGCTCTTATGAATTGTAATGTAAATATTTGTATTTTCTGATGGCCTTTGGTGACCCTGAAAGAGTCATTCCATCAACAAAGGGGTTGCGACCCACAGTTTGAGAACAGCTATTCTATCACTGTACGTATTTGTTGCACACACAAACCTGTAGATAATACACTCATGCACTTAAACTAAAAATAGAATAAAATAAAAGAATTAACAAAAAGGACAATCCTCTTAAAAATTTAAAAGGATGTTTTTGTTAGGTGTTGTCTCACTGTGATAATTAATACAATCATCAATACATCCAGAGCTTATTAGACCAAATTTCAAAAGACAGAAAATTTCCAAAAGTATGTATTTTGTGAAACAGTACCCCTATGAACTGATCTTCACTATGAAGTAAAGCTACAATAGTGCAAGACATCTAAAACAGCATGTCTTTCCTGAATTTAATCCTGAAATGTTATTCCATCAGAGGCGGACATCTGTAATCTGTACCTTTTCCATTAATGTACCACACCAGTTATATTAATATAAATTGTATTATGTTGCTTTACTGAAGCAACCCCAAAAAAAGCAAAAGCAAAAGGAAGGAGGCAGCGAGTGAAGGAGGGAACAAGGGAGGGAGGGAGGAAAGAAAGGAAGAAAAACCCAGAGGTGCATAGATTTGTTGCAATCCTGTTCGCAGGGAAAATACATTGTATTTAGGATTTCTCTGAAGCAGATTGTTTTTTATTTGAGCTGATTTCTAGAAAGAGTTGCGCCCTATGAGCTAGCATGTCTTGCACATCTTTGCAGAGAAGCATTTCCTGGATGGATAGCAGCTTAAAGTTGCTCAGGCTGAATGGTGAATGGTTCTGTGCGGCACTTAACATGCCAAGGGATGCTGCAACTGACTCACTCAGAGAAGAACAGACAGGGAAAATCCGAGCAGTCCACAGGCTCAGATGCATCTTACTTCCTGAGAATCGTTCTTCTGTAGCTTTAAGGTTCCAAATATCTAAACAAGTCAGAAAACTGACCCCAAAGAACTTAAGCGTCTTTATATCTGATACGGCTTTAACGCTGTGCTTCAAGCTGTCTTCCATGCCAAACACCATAGTTGAATATTGTAAGTGTCCGTTTACCTCCACACTTAAAGAACAGAGAAAAGAATGTGGGGGCAGGGCAGCTTGTGCTAGGACAGAACCACTGACAATGCAGTTTTCCGAGATGGACACCTCAGGCCCCAATCTGGAATACTCTATAACCGAGCCAGGGCCCACAAGGCATCCTGCATCCAGGACACTGTGAATGATACAGGGTGTCTCATGGGAGTGTTCGGGCACATTTGGAAAGACACTGAAAGCTATGGATTGTAAGCCCAGCTCTGACCGTAGCGTACTATTGGAAGTGAAATGAAGCAGATACTCCTCCGTCGTTCCGATGTGATAAAATCTGGAGTTATTAAGGACGACAACATTGAGGGGCGTTCCCTTGAGGAGGTAGAATATTTTCTGCCTCATGTCCAACAGCTGGGCCTCCTCCTTAGTGACATGGGCGGTGTTCTTGGTGTACTCTGCAGTTGCCCCGGGTCCCAGTGCCTGCAGGAAGTCACCATATGCGTCTATTTCACAGGTCAGGGGGCCTACGCTCTCATAAAAGTCAAGAAGCTTTTTGGCTGACTGATGATCCATGTAAAATAGGCTATCTGTGTAGACATATTCACAGTGCAATGGATGACAGGTGATGTCACCCCCAGCCAAGTCCTGTTGACCAAAGTGTTCTCCTCTATGCACAGCATTAAAGTGGTGCATGTTTTCAATGCTGGGCTTGTGGAGGAAACGGTGGCATTGCCTGTACTCTAGGTCACCATGTTGCAGAGGCCCACAAGAGTCCAAGACAAATACTCCATGTGTGGTGCCTATAGCCAGGCTAGATGGATGGGCTAGGGCAGTAAAACCAGGCTGGTCAAATACAATGGACTCAGAGTCCCCAATGCTGTACAGTTCAATATCATCTGCACAGGTGATCAAAACTCCAGGCTTCATATGTGAGGGGAAATCCATGTACATGGCAAGCTTTAAGTCCAGCATCTGATAAATGGGCTCACCAAGTGGTAAGGCTGTGAAGATTTTTCCTAAAGCACTTGCATTGGGAAGCCGTTGACTGTAGCCACCTATAAAAAATGTGAAGTATTTAAAAATATGCTCTTTGAGAGATTTTCAAAATCTGGTGACAACCATTACAGCATAATATAGCTCTGGAGATGTTTAATACTAAGTATCTAATCAAAATTAAGGGTAGAATTAGGAAATTTAGACTTTAAAACCACCCAAGAATGTTTAATGTACAGAAATTCGATGTAATGCAATTTTAAAGACTCTAGGTCAGGAAATGATTCAAAGATACACAGAGCATGGGTAGGCAGTGTTCTGAATCAACTGCGTAACTATCAAAAGGACCACTTTTAAAACTTGATCTTCCATGAACATTTCTAACAACACATTCCAACCAAAATTAAAGTCATATATCAAGGATGTCCTTACAAAAACCTGTAAAAGCCTAAGTCTAATGGTTCCAAAATGTACTTCTCTGCTAAACATCCATTTCATGACACATCCATTGGTTTCAACTTAAGACACATACTTTAAATGAAGTAAATGCAAATTTACTTAAGAACTGTTTTTTTTTTTTTTTAAATTATACCACTTTTTTCATTTGACTTGGCTTTTCCCTTCCAAGATTAACATCCTAATGTCTTGATTTCTGAAATGTGTTCTCTTAAACACAGTGAATGCTGGACTCTTTTTATGTAAGGGAGTGTGTACAGTGAGAAGCAGACTTCCGTCCTAGGAGAGGTGGGTAAATGAGCTCACCACTGTCTCTGCATGCTTCAGTTACTCCCCGAGGACTGACTGCAGTCAAGGGCAGCATCGTGAGATCAATGCGACATCTAAAGTTCTCTGTACATAGTACCCTGCTCAAGAAATAAGAGCTAAAAATAATCTTAATTGTTTCTCTTCCCAAAGACCAGGTGACAGTAACAATCACACTGAAAGAATTATCTATGGCCTTTCCTCACATGCGTGGAGCCTGGCTCACACACACTGAAGCCCTGACCTAAAATGGCACTAATTTGCATGCACCCCACACTATCTTACTGGATAATTTATTTAACTAGAACAATGCAAGGTTTCCATGGACGGTGGTTATGCAGTGATGTTCCAGGAATTATGAAAAGTCCACATGTTCAGTATAGACACACTTTCATCACTGCTCACATACTTTCTGTCCAGCATTGTCTGAGTCTGCAGAGGTACATGGAATGTTCAGAGAGCCCACCATATTTCTTGCTATCTATTTTCTGATGTTCAATTAATTTTACCTCTATCCTACAAGATAGTGAATTGTTCTACATTCTTAATATTTTTCTGAAAGCAGGTCTTGGATATATTATGTTGACATCCTCTGTATAGTTACATTACCGTGTATACAATCTGGAATTAGAAAGCATATGATGATGGTCATTCTAAATTATATGTCCCAGGTCATTCCAGACTTTGAGAAAGGCTTCACCAGCCCACAAGAATATAGAGATAAACAGCAGAAGCTTTCATGCAATCTGTGTGTGTGTGTGTGTGTGTGTGTGTGTGTGTGTGTGTGTACATATAATTAAAAAAATCTATATTTTCTGATTTCTCTTTTGAAATATTCTATGTGTTTTTTTCAACATGTTAATTCTGTATTTTGTCAATTTTCTTTTGTGTTTAAAACTGCTAAATATTGTAGCTTTCGACTATCAAGAATCAGTCAACAATGCAAGCTAGGTTTTAAGAAATGTCTAATCATCATCCATTTTCTTTCACAACAAAATTAGCCTTAAAGGCTGCTGAAAAACATCCACATTTTTAAGAGATTTGTGAAAAATAATTTTCTGTTTTGCAAACCAAAAATGAAATGATAATATATTGTAAGATATGGATGATGTACATAATCTACAATGTTAAGAATAAATTTTGTGAAAATCATATCACTTACACACTGAAAAGAGCAAACAACTAACCCAAAAAGTAATGAACATTTATTTCCACAGTAAAATACTAACAACAAATTTTAAATCAAAATGAAAACATAGGGGAAGTCATTTGCAAGGGAGACAAAGTGCTTAAGTTGTCAAAGGCTGAAAACCCAAGGGCAAATATAAAAGAATAAACAAGTTACCAGAGTGAATTAAGAGGACTGTGAAAGAAGTCCACTTATCTCCATACAGGCTTTCCAGGCACTGAAGAGAACAAAGGGTTGATCCTCCATTTCCTTAAAAAAAATTCAAGAGGGAAATTTGCCTCACAGAACGATATGAAGATTTTGTTATGATGATATATTTAATGTTACAATTTTGAAGATGTGACAGATTCAGAAGGTACTGACAGAAGAATACAGCAGTCACAATCAATAAGCAAACAAAAAGCCAATTCAGAAACATATCAAACAGCAGCTAATAATCTCTCAAGGGCAGTAATGAAAGAAATGATAAATTACACAATCTATGACCCTAGGCTGAGAATTTATGTGCAGCTGTCAATCAGAAAGCTTGCTTAATGACTTCGTTCAAATGACACAACTCAACTCACAAGTTTCAATGTTTTTTAAATTAAGAACTTGGTTTGTTAAAATATTTTAAATATTACTAACATATTGTGAGCCCAATTATCCCTCTACAAAAGGGATGTCATACAAGTGCTGATCTTCTTCCTTGGAGGAATAAACCAAGAGTAACTCATCAGAAAAATTTCACATGCGTTCACTTCGTGGCATGAAGGGGCTTTAGCTTTTCTTATCATATGAGCTACAATTTTAGGGATAAATTTTATAAAAAATAATACCACTTCCAAGTGAAGCATAGCAAATAAATAAGTAAATAAAAGATGAACAATGGCTTTCAAAGCAAAACACTTTTAAGCAATAACTACAAAAGTGTAGAAGAAATTATTTGCAATCCCTTGTATATAGAATCAAAGGTAAAATATAATCTATTCATTTCCAATGATGACAAAGTTTGAATTAAACCAAAGTTTAAATAAATATTCTATGTCACTTTAAGTGACTGGACCTGGTTCATCTTTATTCCATGTTTTGGTCCCAAGAGACCAATTATACACATACATTTCCTGCTTTGTTTTCCTTGTACAGATGTGTGAAGAAACTACTGGGTTGGGAAAGACCTTTGAGAAGTTCCAAGGAGGTCTACTGGAATTGTATTAAAGAAAATAAAAAACAAAAAATTTCTTTTTTTTTTTTTTTTTGGACCAGTTTCTCTTCACATCATAGTGGCTTAGGTCCTATGCTCTGAATTTCATCTTGCTAAGAGGACTTAATTTAGATTCAGATTTTAAAGACCGTAAAGGCCATGTGTGTAGATAAACAGTTTGAACACCATAAAGCTCAGAAAATTATCCAATTATTGTTTTGCTCCAAATCTGTTGTAAACATGTGCATGAAATGTATACCAATCTTGGTCCCAGGAGGGTCACTGAAGACATGATAGCGAACTCCGAGGGGCAGTTCCTTTCTCTTTAGCTTTTCTGACAACTGTTGCTTGTAAGCAAGCTCCTGCTTTTCATCGGCTGCTGTTATTGCAACTACATCCCAGAATTCCCCAGCTGCCACAGGTTTGCCTATTGGAAAACAGCAAGAACTTTTTTATTAACATTATTATAATTCTCTATTACAAGCCTGCCTATTCCAAATGAGTGGAGGACAAAGAACAAAAGCATAATCACTGCCAGCTTCCTAAATAACAATGCGATGCAGAAACAAAACAAACAAACAAACAAAAAAACAAAAACAAAAAAACCCACAACAATCTTTAACCTAAATCAAGCAAGTTCCAGGAGTCAGGTCAGATATTTCATGAGAAACAACAACTCTACTCTCCTTGCATGTTTCTGTACAGACATGCGGGTTTGTTTTGGTGCCACTTAATTTTTCTTCTCTTTAGTTTTAAATTGCCTTGTGGTGGCGCAGATAAAACACAGAGCCCTGTGTATGCCAGGAAAGCACCCCATCGCTGAGGTATATTCCCAATCCCCTTTTTATTTATTGTTTGAGAGTGCCTTACTAGTTGACAGGCTGACCTTGGACTCTTCCTGTCTTCCAGGCAGGGCTTGAGCCAAGACCCAGATGCCTCAGCCTCCTAAGTAGAATCTGTAGCACCAGGCTCAACTCTTAATATTTTTAATTAACTTACGAGGACCCAACTAAACTTAGGTAGGCCATCAGATATCACGCAAAACTTAGGGTCAAATTCCCCAATAAGCTCGTTAGATGACAAGTTGCTCTGGCAAACAGTGGGGCCCTCTCCTTTACCAAGGAGGCCGGCGGCCCTGCCCCTCGCTACAACCCCTTAGCTCGCCTTCCCAGAGCCACGCGGACACAGGGTCTGTCCGTCTGTCCGTCTACTGCGTCCCCGAGGCTGCGGATCCAGGTACGGCTGCACTGAAGTCCGGCAATCCCTCTCCTGGCCTGCACCGTTAACTTAAATTAAACCCCAGTCTGACCCTGGGCGCCCCGGGCCCCTTCCCTGCTGCCCCTGCGCTCTCTCCCGGGCCGAGAACGTGTCACTGGGGCCGTGGGAGGACGACGAGGGCCGGGGGAGCGGGGACGGGCGGGGCCGCGGCGGGCGGACAGGAAGCGGCAGCGAGGGTCCGCCGGCAGAAGGCGCCCTCCGGGCGGGCCCGCGTCCCGAGCGCCTCAGTTCCGCCCCAGGGTACCTCTCAGGGCCGCAAACCGCCGCAGTCTGCGCAGGGCCGCTTCGCGGACGGACGCCATGGGGCCGCACTTCCGGGAGACGGCACGGCGCGCGCCCGCCCGCGTCACCGCGCAGGCGCATTCTCCCGCCCCCGTCTCCCGGGCAACGCTGCGCGGCGCACACGGGCCCCGTCCCCGAGCCGGGCTGCGTGCGGCCTGCGCCGTGCGGTCCCGCGTCCTCCGCGCCTGACGGCCCAGCCCAGCCCAGCCCGCGCTGAGGTGACCCCGCCCCGCCCCGCCCCGCCCCGCCCCGCCCCGCCCCGCCCCGGGAACTCAGCCTTAGGGACCCGACTTTGTGGTCGCAGCGGGGTCTGCACACAGCCTCCTCTCCAGGCCCACACAGAGCGCACACTAAAGAGCAACCCGGGGAAGACTTCCCAGCTCGAAGCCAGAGAGCCTGCCGTCCCCTACAATTTGACTTGAGAAGGCTCTCTTCATTAACTTCTTTTTAATATTGTTATTTTTTTCCCCTTATTTTATGTATCGATCCCAGTTCCCTTTCCCTGCCTCCTGTGGGCCCGAACCCCCACCCCACCCATCATCAAAATCCCATCTGCCCCCCCCCCCACTCCCTCCAGGAGGGATCATCAAAATCTGTCAAGTCATTTGGAGTAGGGTCTAGGCCCTCCCTCCTGCCTCTAGGCTAAGGGAGTATCCCTCCATGGGGGATGTGCTCCCAAAGTCCTTTCATGCACCAGGGATACATCCTGGTTCCATTGTCTGAGGTCCCTTAGACTGTCCAGGCCTTCTATCTGAGACCCATGTTCAGGGGCTCTGTCGGTCCAATGCTGGATTCCCAGCTATCAGTCTGGGTCCATGAGCTCCTCCTTGTTCAGGTCAGCTGTCTCTGTGAGTTTCTGTAGCCTGGTCTTGACCCCTTTGCTCATCACTCCTCCCTCTCTAAAACTGGATTCCAGGGTTTGGGCTCATTGTTTAGCTGTGTGTATCTGCTTCTGCTTGCTCAAGAATTCTACAAAACGATTTCCAATGAGCTTAGCTAAGATTCTAAGTAAGCTTAGTTTTCTTTTTATCTATCTAAAATTTGACCTTGGCATTTAATTCTGTGAAGTAGAGACATTTGTGGGGAAAGACTACTGTTTGACAGTACACTCTTGCTGAAGGAAACTTAAAGAATATGGAAAGTTAAAGGATCTGAGAGTAACATCAATAGAAGTCAAAATTTGTGGTTTTACTCTTGAGTGAATTGGAGTCATCCCGGGGTTTTGATAAGACTTCCCTTATGTTTAATGGGGACACACTGAAATGTATCAGCCATGTAGGGCAAGAATATAAGCAGATAGCCTTATTTGGAGGCTACTAAAGCAGTGCAAGCTGCAAAGGTTTGATAGAAATTTATAAGATTATAATGAGGTCTGGTAAGATACTTCTTAGAGTCTAGAAACATTCTAAAGGCAAAGCCAACAACATCTGTCCACTAGTGGAGGATGAAATGGCCAGCGTATGAGATGAGGAAAGCTATATATAATGACACATAGTGAAGTGGTAAGAATGTACCTTTAATTTAATATTGGCTATGTAGAACAAACATGTATGTATATGTAGGGGATATTGTTGTGTGTGTATGTGTGCGCTATGTATGTGCACAAGACAGGTCTGACTAGAAATTTCTGTGAATTGTTAGAATATATATAGAGTTTATTTTCAGCTATGGAGCTAGGTTGAGATCCAAAAGGGATAATGAAGGTAAAAAGGTCCTACATATTAAAGTACCACACATTCTTATAAGTGGAAGACAGAATATCTTAGGGCGTTGGATTGCTATGAAGAGACACCATGACCATGGCAACTCTTACAAGGGAAACATTTAATTGGAGCTGGCTTACAGTTCAGAGATTTGGTCCATTGTCCTCATGGCAGGAAGGCTGTTGGCACACAGGAAAAGACTGGGCATGCTTAGAGCCTCTGGGACCTTAAAGTCTCCCTCCCCCCAGTAACACACTTACTCCAACAAGGCCACACCTCCTAATAGTGCCACTCCCAAAGAGCCTATGGGGGGGCATTTTCTTTCAATCCAATACAGTAACCAAATTTAAAGATATATGGGACTTAGAGGCCCACCTTCCCCGTCCGTGCTGGGATTTACTCTGTCTTGAGCTGGTGTAGGTGTTTTACAGCTTATGCATGCTGTCACTACCACCACGAGTTCATTAGTGCAGTTCTCCTATTGTATCTAGCACTTTCTCTCTACTTCCCTTCCACAGTGGTCCCCTAGCCTCTGGAGGAAATGGTATACTATAGATCACCAGTTTAAGAAGCTGAGCATTGTACAGTCCTATTCTCTACAAATTGACCAGCTGCAAGTCTCTATGCTAGTTGCCATCCACTGCGAAAAGAATCCTTTCTGATGAAGGTAGAGTCTAGTGATGTATCATTAGGAGTTAAACAACTATGTTTAGCAGATAAGCAGTAGTAGGGTCTCAAGCAGAGTCTTATGGCCTCTCTGGGCACAGGTTCTTGGTGTCAGGTATGGGCTCTCTCTTAAGGAGGGTGACTTAAATCCTGAAATTCAAATCAGAATGTTGTTTATTACCCCCATGAAATTCTTTTCCCTACTGCACCAGTAGTTGTATTTTCCAGCTCAGTTGTTATAACTTGTACAAGTCCTACCCCTAGCTGAGGAGCTATGGACACTTCAAATGCATAGCTGCTGCAAGAGGGTTTGTCAGTTTCCTTTACGGCTGTGGCCTTAGAGAGGGCAACCACGTTCAGTGAATCACCTCATACACGATGAACTTTAACAAAAGAGAGAGAGAGAGATGAGAGAGATAAATATGTTTGAATAAATATATTACATTGCCAAAAATATGATTCAAAATAAAAGATATAGTCAGTATGATAAATAATTTGAAATACTTTATATACAGTGATGAAGTTTTATAAAATTACAAACATATACATACGTATTATCTGTATACTGATGCAGTGAAACATGAAGTCACTTTCAGTTGGATAGAATCTTGACTCTTGATGCTTTATGTGATGGATGATGTTTGTATAAAGCATCATTTTTTAAAAATATGTTTTTATGTGTTGGAAGTAAAAAGAAAATTAAGAAAAAGGAAATGGCAAGTATAATGACTCTTTTGGAGAAAACATTGTAAAACACTTGAGTAATGAAAGGTTGATATCCAAATAATACAAGGGTCTCAAACTCAACAGTAAGATAGCCACCAAGCCGACAATAACAAACAAAAAACAAAACAGAAACGTGAGCTGAAAAATGCCTCATCAAAGGACACATTCATGTGGCAAACACATGTAGAGAAAGATGTTCAGCATATATCTGTAGGAAATGCAAATTCAGAAAATGAGGTACCTCTCTATATCTATCAGACTAGCTTTGATTCAAGATACCAATCCACTAAGCACTACTTAGAATGGGAAGCATGTTGCTGATAGAAACACAAAACAGTACAGCTGATTCCAAGAGGGAGGCAGTTTATCACCAGACAAAGCTATCGAGGTTAAATAAGGATTAGGATAAACAAATAGGCTGAATAGATGTTTATTCAGGGGGAAATAACTTACAACCTAGACAGATGAACACCAGGAAATTCCACCTGATGCTTTCCTGTCCAAGTCCCACCAGCAAGAGAGCTTTTCCCGCCTCTCTCTCTGACCTCCTTCCACAGGTCACTTCTGCCCATCGCTCCACCCTCCAATGGGCATGGTCAGTGCCACAGAAGGACTATCTCACTACAATTCCCCTTTTAGTCTAAAGAAAAGATTTAGGCTTAATACAAAACTATATAGAAAACAGTGAATAACAAGTGTGCTCTAAGAAAAGGAAAATCGAGAACAAAATGACCTACATATCTAGTCCTAGGGTGAAGGCATAATGGAGTTTACAATAGAGTTGTCCTAAGCTGGAAAACGTAAGTCTAGTACCTCATATATCTAACTAGGAAGAGAGAATAATTGTGATAGTTTAATCTTCAACCTCATCAAGACCTGAGAAGGAAAATAACGATACTAGAGTAGACAGGAAGTGCGGGTGGACAACTTCCAAAAGGTGCAACAAGGACAGAAACAGCAAGTCACCTGGACAGTCACCCTAGGTCTCACAGCAACGTTGGTACACCCAGTTTGGCTAAGGCCAAGAGAACTTGACAGACCACAACAACAGTAGGGAGGTAGAATGGCTGTCTTACCCTGACTTGGCAAGGTCCAGCAGTCTTCTATATTTGTCTCCTGCAAGCACATATAGGACTGCATGTCCAAATCAGTGGTCAAGGTGGGGGCCCAACAGGCATTAGCTGAGGTGAGAATGAACTCCAGTAGGAGCAACAACAGTGTCCAACATATTTTCGGGAAAGTGTACGGTGCTGTCAGGAGCAACAGTGTCTCATGTCAATGGAGTACTAATATTAAAACATTTAAATGCCATGCTCTGCATGTCTATGAAGTGACTGAAGATTAAGCATCATATATGACTAATCTCATAGGTACAGGAAACATGAGTGAAGATAATCTGTAATACTCGGGGACTTAGCTAAAAAGACTGATTAAAACTTTCCTGAGTAAAGCAGGAACAAATACTTAAACAATATAACTATTTACATATACATACATGTAAATCCCTAAAATAGAGGTAGAGTACAAATGTCAAGACAAGAGGTAGAACTATAAAGGGCAGCATGATAAATATCCCAAATTGTATCAATATACAAAATGTCTTGAATACAAGAAAAGTATACATACATAGAATGTGGTAAAAAATAATGTGCATAAAACATCGTAAGTGGAAAGATTTCACACAATATAACAAAATATAAACTTAATTTTATGTAGCTTACCACATATAAGAATATATAACAATGTAAGCTGTAAAATAGCATCTCATTCTTACTCAAATTGACAAGAAAATAGGCTAATCTACCTATATCCCATCTAAACCATACCTTTCCCAACCATTCCCTATTACTGTCTAAAAGATAAACCCGAGTGTAAGCATCACCTTCCATGCCCAAACCTAAATAACTAAAATCAACCCAAAGATG